GGGTATCAAGAGTGGGAGATGAGGCAGGGGGATGGGTTTCTTACCGGACTTGAGACTTCTAAAAAAAAAAAAAGCCCTTGCTGCTGATTCCACAGTACAGTCTGAAAGGGAGTGAGTCAGCACCACTGCACCCCCTCTGGATCTTTCCCTGGTTGTCTATATTTTGCTCTTATGTATAGAAATTTCACTGTATCCCTTAGAACTTGCAGTACATTCTACATCATCTTTCTCAGGTATTTTTTGTCTCAGAGAAATGAGAATGTTCAGTCAAAAATGTTTGGTTCTGGTTCCATATGTTCTTGCATACAGCATGCCCCAAAATAAAATATGCACCTTTTTTTGAAAGGCAGAATGAAATTAAAAATAACTTTGTAGTAATTGAGTAATAGCAGCTAGGGAGCTGAGCCTGATCATTGTTCTCTGCACCCTGTGAGTTGCATGCAGATTTTACTTTCACTTACTGATAACCAGCAGAAATTGGTTCTTACTTTATTTTTTTGCATATAATGCACACTCCAAGTTTCAGCAGCTGGTTTTTAGGGGAAAAAAATGCATGTTGTGTGCACGAAAATATGGTACCTCTGAAATGGGGCTGTGGCTGTTTCTTTCTGTTGTGATGTTGAAGCTTCATAGTGCTAGCAATAGAATATGATCCTAAGGTGTTGCAAAGATGCTGATGGAGCTACAGTGCCTTACATTGCCAGTGGTGCATACCAGTTGGGTTGTACCTCTCTCTTAAAAGCCCCTCATTCTTATGTGATCTACAGGTGCACAGAGGAGTCAGGAAGAGCAAGTTGGATTAAGCATTTAATTGAGGGTGCGATAAGCTATTCATAGGCACATGTTGCAGAAGCTAATTTTATGTATTGTGGAGGAGCCACAGGATGTGAATGTTGTGTTCATCTGAGATTGGCTTATTTTCCTTTCCTTTTCCTGTTGCTAGGTATGTCTGCAAGTAGCCCTCTCCAGACATCAATTATACGGCCTGCTGGACTTGCAGACTTCGGACCTTCAAGTGCTTCTTCTCCCCTGAGCTCCCCTTTGAGCAAAGGAAATAGTGTTTGTGGGACCCCAAAAAGCTTAAATCTGACCAGCAGCCTGATATCAGAAACCCCAATTCGGAAGCAAAGTAAAGGAGCCCACACGTCAGGTGGGCGGTAGTAATTTTGAAGCCTTGAAGTTTCTCTAACCATATTGGCTTTCAGAGTAGCCCACCCTGCCAGCAGGAGGCATATGCAGAGGAACGCCTTTTGCCATCCCACATGTGTATGAAAAGAAAATCATAGCATAATAGGGATGGGTGGTTTACGTGAGCACTTTGATTATGTGTATCCCAAAAAATTACCTTCGCAGACGCTACGAGGAGGAGGGATGGGGACTGGGGTTAAATGAGAGATTTTTTTTTACATTAATTTTTCACCCGTTTTACTGATGCATTCTACAAAGCTTACTGGAAAAAGATCTACCTAGAAAGTGTGATGTCCTGCAGCCATTTGTGTTTGTGGCCACACCAGTGTACTGTTCTTCCTCCTCTTTCAGCTTCAGGTGGAGTTCAGTTCTATTCTTATTCTAAGAAATCAGTAGCTGAACTCTGAGGGTACCCTACAGAGTTGGAGGAACCCTCTGCACTGAGGACTTGGCAGTGCATTTGGGGTGGGCCCATCTGTGGATATTGTGGCCATGTAGTTTGGTACCTCTAGTATGGATCTGTGGATTCCGAGAAGAATTCTTTAAAGACCTTGAGTTCAAGGGAAGGGAAAAGAAATCTCCCAAAAGTTTCCAAGAACTGGACTCTTGTCAGCACCATGTTTTTGATCTTGTTCTAGACATGAGGTAATTGCAACTGCAGTTGGACAGAGTAGGCCTGGTGACACTAATGTTGCTGTCTCTACTTCATGGAGTGGGAGAGGCTACAGGTCACTGGTTTACATTTCAGAGCCCAAGTCTGTTAGCATGAATGTTCATTTTGTTGGGTTTAAGAATGATTTCTCCCATTTTGAGCTATGCTGAACTTTTAAGGCTTAGTAAAAGTCAGACTCTACTTGTATATATTTCAAGAAGAGGAAATGCTGATATGCAAGGGGAAGAAGTTCACTGCTATTCCTCTCACCGTGCCATAGCAGAGCTTGCTTATGTCATTTGCCTTTGGGTACTGCAGCTTGCCATGCCACAAGGGGAACAATAGAGAATTTGACTGAAACAAGGACTGTGCCATTTCCCCTTTCCAATCAACTCTTGGGAAAACTGAAATCTCCCATTCCAGCCATCCATCTGATCTGTTCTTCCAGCATATTTCCCTTTTGTCAGTGATCGTCACACATACTAGCTTGGTTGAGTTTTTTTTGGTTTTGTTTTATTTTATTTTTATAATGTGCAGGCACGAGCAGACACACTCATGAGATGAACAGTGCTTTCAGTGCCACTCTCTGTCCTCATTCTCTCAGATTGTTCTTTCCCCATTCTAAATACCCCTTGCTTGGCTATAAATGTCTGCATTGCACTGAGATACAGGTGGGGAGCAGTTCTCTCATCTCAATGGCTATACTGCAAGGGCACTTTCATCCCTTGAGAGAGAGAGAGAGAGAGAGAGAGAGAGAGAGAGAGAGAGAAGCAAGTTGAGTTACAGGTCCATGCTGTGACAGCAGAGGATGTTTTTTTCCCAATCCCAAGCCCCTTGCCTGGCGTCCCACAGTGTGGAGCAAGTGCTTCCTGTCGGCTCGGCCTCTAATTTGCACACCTAATAGCAGAACTGAGTTTAGTTAGACTGATTTTTAAACAGATTTGGAGGGGATAATTGAGGGGGAGGTGTTGTTTAATTTAAATCATGAAGACTTCCCCCTTCCCCTCATATTCACGTGTATATATGATATTTAGAGGGAATAAGAAAAATGCCAAGACTTTTTTTCTCTTTGAATGTGCTGTCTATTTTTATAACTGAACCTGTACATATGTATAAAAAGAGACACAACTTTCTTTTACTAACTGGAGAAAAAAATCTTAAATAAAATGGAGTGAGATAATTTTATGTAAATCAGAGTCTGTGGTTTGTATCCGTGTAGCTTTACGAACGAGCAACACGGGAAATAGGTGTTGGGGGGAGTGCTGTGGGGCCATGTCCAAGTGTGTACAGCCTGCCAGAAATAGTGGGCCAACATGCTCTTTAGTTTCTACTCTCTTGGGTCACATGCTGTTCTTAACAGGGTTACAAATGTCCAATGGACTTACTACATATATATTGAGTATGTACACTTTGTATAATTAAGCGAAGGATGCTATGGCAGAGCAGGTAGGGCATCCCACTGTCTTGACTTGTGCCAAAGGCTACCCCCAGCTGTAAACAGGCATCTTCAAGGAGTTATGGAGGCCTGACATGAATGCTTACCACATCACTCCCTTGTGTTACCACTGGTTATGGAAGCTGGCATACTTTAACCAGACTTGCCCAACAGGCCTTCTAGACCTGGACAGGGCATCGCTGAAATAATACAACTAAGCAACCTATGCAGGATATGTACAATACAGTACAGGGAAGTGGATAGGTTTATTACATACTCGCCGAGGTTTCCTGACTAGAAAATAATGGCTTGCTTCATTATAGTTGATACCTTTTAGTATTTTAGCCCCCATAGATATTCACCTGTATTTTTTTTCAGCTGGAGTTATAAGGGGCTTCCTGGCTCCAGTTTTGATTTTAAGTGTCAGGAAGTTTTATCAGAGATTGAAATACTTTGAGAGCAGAGTGAAGGAAGCTGTATGCAATGTGAGCAGGACTTTAGGAAAAGATGCATATAGGAAAAGATGTAAATCTGCAAAGAAGAATGAGTTGGAGGATACTGGATGGAATATGAAGTTAATGAATTTAAAAATAAAATTTCAGTGGCCTACCAAGTTGTCAGGGAAAAGATAGAAGCCTAAATACTTGGGGGACAAACTAGGCCAGACTCTGGAAGATGTACTGCAGAGCAGTAGTTCTCAAACCTTTTTTGTTACCACAGCCTGCCTGCCATCCTACAGCCAACCTCCCTCCAACCCATGCATAACCCCACAATGCACCTTCCATTTGCCAAGTGTGTTGCAGACACCCAAGCTAGCTCCACACTCACTCCAGAATGGAAGGAGCACAGTCACATTCACATGGCACTACTGCACCTGGGCTTAACAGCTCTGCCCCTCAGCAAAGCTAATTGGTCTGCCCTCCACCCTAAGTTACGTTCTGCTATGTTATATTCAACAGATAATGTGCACAAAACAGTCCAGTGTCTCAGCACTAAGCTGTCCAGCAGAGGAGGGGGTCCTCTGTGATGCCTATCTAGGGCTCCCTGGCTATGAACGACTGCTGTAGGGAACAGTCCTTCATGGTCAGTGACAGGATGTACTGCTGGGACAGGTCCACCTCTGATTTCTGTGAATACTTGTACCAAAAATGGATCAGTTCATTATTACCATTAGATGCGATACAAGGACAAGACTACCCATGCTAAAATTGCTTGGCAGTAAATTTAAAAGGAAGAAGTGGGTGCTACTCTATTCTGAATATTGTCAACTTCTGGTATTCACTACTGCTGGAGATAATCAAGACAAATACATTGGTGGGGCTTTTCAAAGAGATGGTTGTTGCCATTGTCCAGTAATAACACGTGACTATAGCTGGCAGGCATAGTGTGGTACCTTTGCTTTGAAATGTCAAGAAGAAACCCTTTCCCCTTTCACCCAGATACGGCATTGCACAATTATCTTCAATGTGTTATTGGGGCAGGATATCACTTTCCTCTGAAGCATCAGCCATTTGCAACTGGCGGAAACAAGATACTGGATTAAGTGAATTTGTGATCTGAGCTGGCATGGCAAAAAGTGTGTTGATAAGTTTGTGAGACACTGAGGACTATGTGTCCCTTCTGTTTTGTGTATGTAGCATTTGCCCATTGCTGTAAAACTACAAACCCTAACCACTGCTAAAATTACTATAGAAGATTTTAATCCCTGTACCCAAGCTTTTCCTAGACTATCTAGATTCAGCTTGCAACCTGTGCTTCAAATCCTTTCTTTCAATCCTGGCTCAAGCCTATTGTCCTTTTCATACTTTATTTTTCAAGAGTAGATTGCCTCAATTATACTATTCTGTGAAGACTGGAACAGCCCTACTTTTCTATGATTCTGTAAAGATACTTTGACAGAGGTTTCACTGGGACATTGCTTAATTTCTCAATGCCAGTAGGTTTATGCTGCTATGTTCACGTTTCCTATTTAGCATTCTCTCTGTTGTAATAACTCCCCACAATGATGCATTCACATTTCCTGCTTTGCCTGCAGTATTTTCTACCACCACCCCATTTTCCCATCCTAGCTTCCTATTGTCTATGCAGCCATCTTAGCTCCTCTTACTCCTAGCTGTACTTCTGTTGCCTTCTTTCTCTCACCTCTGTTTCCAGCTTTCCTTTTCAGAGATTGTATATCTTGAAGCCAACATTTTATCTCCATGGTAGCTGTATAGTGGTATCTTGCATATCAATCACTACTAAAAGATAAAACAAATATGCTAAGTGTTGCCATTGAAATGTTTAAGTAGGTCAAAAACCACAAGTCACATTGTTATTTGCAGTTGGGTCTACTCACAGATACTTTTTGCATTTTTTAAAGTCCTGTGTGACAGAGTTGTGTGCTATGAACAGGGTGATCACTTCTTATACTTCAGGGTATAAGCTCATCACCTACAGGAATTGAGGAGTCTTTCTTCATGTTGCAGTTTTATTGCAGTGGCTAATTGGAAAATGGCAAATGGAAGTGGATGGGGAGGAGAAGGGGAATATAATTTTCTCCCTCAAAGAACATCATATATTGGCAAGATACCAGACTTAATCTCCCAACTGTCTGAGCCAGTATTCTACCTGCTTTGTTCTGGACTGCAACCTTCCTCTTTCCAGCAGCATCTTGGGTTGCTCCTCCAAACAGCTGGTGGCCAAATGTCCTGTGAAATGGGGAAATGCAAGATGTGCTGGGCTAGGCTTTCATGACCATTACCCTATCCTCAATTTTACCCTGTACTTTTCTCTTCCTTGTAGCAGTAAAAACTGCTACAAGGCAGATGAAGGTCCCAGCCCATTTGATGTTGGACTTTGTGTACATGATCTTTTCAGGGATGCATGAGCCTAGGTACTTTCATCCAGGTGTTAGGAAGTGTCTCAGCATTCAGATATGAAATGGCCCTTAATCTAATATGGCATCATCTAGTGTGGCCAACAAAAAAGAGGAGGCAGGTGGAGTGGAGGGAAGTTTTTCAAGAAGAACTGTGTTTTCTTGAATTTCCATAAAGATAAACTAGTTTCTTGCTTTCCTTGATTCCTGTCAGACGAAAGTAAACCTTTAACCTATGTGAGCTGGTTGCAGGCAACCCTGGAGCAGAAAAGAACTGCTTTATAGACATACAGTGGTGGTGGTTGGCAGTATTCTGAACTGGTTTGCAAAGGTAGGATGAAACATCTTCTGGTTTCCCAAGCCATCTGGTGCATATGGTAACTGCCTATTATTGAGATGTTGTGTACAAGCAGCAATCCTCCTCTCTCTCCCTGTTCCTTTCTCTCTCTTCCCCCTTCCTCCCTCCCTTGTAAGTGTTAATCAGCCATTCGCAAGATCCCCATGTTGCATCAAGGATCCAGGGCTTTTCAGAAAAGCCTGAGTGAGTTTTTAACCTGAAGGGAGAAAAATAGTAAAACCTGCTTTCATCCTAAGGCTATGAAAACCACATTAATTATACTAACCCTGCATTTATGTATGGGTTGCAGGCATCATTTCTTGTATTAATTATAGTATCAGTTTGAGACTAAATACTTCTGCTCTGGACTATCATTCATATCTGCATAAGGTAAGAGTGAAATTGAATTTAGTTTTTTTTTATTCATAGCTAACCTGGTTGGCTTATTTTCAGAATGGATTTAAATGCTGTCTCTCACTAGGAGAGGTCACCTAAAAACTTAATTCCATCTCTTTCATCTCATGGCTTCCTGGTATCTCCTTTCCTTTTTGCTTTCACTTCTGTCTCTTGTAGAACAAGAGGATGTTCGACGGACTTAAAACACTTAACACAGTGTAAGAAGAAGCATTCCCCATATGTCTGTCTAGCCCTTCAATTTCTTGGCCCTATACCTTGTGATAATGTTCTCTGTGCTTTTCAAAAGTGTGTTGTAAGCCC